TGTGTCCACCCACTTTCTAGATGGACACACCCACTTTACAAAGTTGGTCCCACCCAGGTCCCCCCCCAATCTCTAAGTACAGTGGGATGGAAAGTTTGGGCACCCCAGCTAAAAATGTGTATTAATGTGCATAAAGAAGCCAAGGAAAGATGGAAAAATCTCCAAAAGGCATCAAATTACAGATTAGACATTCTTATAATATGTCAACAAAAGTTAGATTTTATTTCCATCATTTACACTTTCAAAATAACAGAAAACAAAAAAATGGCGTCTGCAAAAGTTTGGGCCCCCTGTAGAGTTAAAATCTTGTACTGCCCCCTTTGGCAAGTATCACAGCTTGTAAACACTTTTTGTAGCCAGCCAAGAGTCTTCCAATTCTTGTTTGAGGTATCTTTGCCCATTCTTCCTTACAAAAGTCTTCCAGTTCTTTGAGATTTCTGGGCTGTCTGTCACGCACGGCTCTTTGAAGGTCTATCCATAGATTTTCAATGATGTTGAGGTCAGGAGATTGTGAAGGCCATGGCAAAACCTTCAGTTTACGCCTCTTGATGTAATCCCCCGTGGATTTCCAGGTGTGTTTAGGATCATTATCCATTTGTAGAAGCCATCCTCTCTTTAACTTCAGCTTTTTCACAGATGGCATCAAGTTACCATCCAAAATTTGCTGAAATTTTATTGAATCCATTTTTCCTTCTACTCGTGAGATGTTCCCTGTGCCACTGGCTGCAACACAACCCCAAAGCATGATTGATCCAACCCCATGCTTCACAGTTGGGCAGAGGTTCTTTTCATTAAATTCTGTGCCCCTTCTTCTCCAAACGTACCTTTGCTCATTCCGGCCAAAAAGTTCCATTTTAACCTCATCGGTCCACAGAACTTGTTTCCAAAATGCATCAGGCTTGTCTATATGTTCATTTGTAAAGTTCAAACGATGATTTTTGTGGTGAGGACGTAGAAGAGGTTTTCTTCTGATGACTCTTCCATGAAGACCATATTTGTACAAGTATCTCTTTATAGTGGAATAGTGACCACAACTCCAGTGTCTGCCAGATCTTTCTGGAGGGATCGTGCCGTCAAACGTGGGTTTTGAATTGTTTTTCTCACAATCCTGCGAGCTGTTCTGTCTGATATTTTTCTTGGTCTTCCAGATCTTGCTTTAACTTCCACTGTTCCTGATGACTGCCATTTCTTAATGACATTCCGAACAGAGGATATTGACATCTGAAAACGCTTTGCTATCTTCTTATAGCCTTCTCCAGCTTTGTGAGCGTCAACTATTTTCAGTTTCAGTTTTCTAGACAACTGCTTAGAAGAACCCATGGTGCTGATTGTTGGGGCAAGGTCAGATGAGTCGGGGCATTTAAAACCTTTGAGATTGACATCACCTGGTCTTCCCAGACGATGATTGAGAGAACAATCCATGACACTGGCAGGTCTCAGCTTGGTAAAGGGGGCGGTGCATGCTATAAATTCTGCAGGGGGCCCAAACTTTTGCAGACGCCATTTTTTTTTGTTTTCTGTTATTTTGAAAGTGTAAATGATGGAAATAAAATCTAACTTTTGTTGACATATTATAAGAATGTCTAATCTGTAATTTGATGCCTTTTGGAGATTTTTCCATCTTTCCTTGGCTTCTTTATGCACATTAATACACATTTTTAGCTGGGTGCCCAAACTTTCGATCCCCACTGTATGTGAGGACCACTCATCATGCCTATCTTATAGGTTGGTCCTCCAGACCCCGCCTCTTAAAATGCAAGGACCACCCACTTATCGACCCGATTCCTGCAAGTAATGTGGTTTTGAGTTACTTAGCACGGGAATGAGGTCAGCGCTGTGATCCCGGGACACGGCCTGAGCCACAAACCAGGACACAACCCGGGACACGGCCTGAGCCACAAACCAGGACACGGCCCGGGACACGGCCTGAGCCACAAACCAGGACACAACCCGGGACACGGCCTGAGCCACAAACCAGGACACGGCCCGGGACACGGCCTGAGCCACAAACCAGGACACAACCCGGGACACGGCCTGAGCCACAAACCAGGACACGGCCCGGGACACGGCCTAAGCCACAAACCAGGATATGGCCCAGGACACGATCCAGGACAACCCAGGACATGGCTAGAGACACGGCCCAGGACACGATCCAGGACGCGGCTAGAGACACGGCCCAGGACACGATCCAGGACGCGGCTAGAGACACGGCCCAGGACACGATCCAGGACGCGGGCTAGAGATACGGCCCAGGACACGATCCAGGACGCGGCTAGAGACACGGCCCAGGACACGATCCATGACATGGCTAGAGACACGGCCCAGGACACGATCCATGACATGGCTAGAGACACACGGCCCAGGACACGATCCAGGACAACCCAGGACATGGCTAGAGACACGGCCCAGGACAACCCAGGACATGGCACAGGACACGGCTAGAGACACGGCCCAGGACACAGCCTGGGACACGATCCAGGACATGGCACAGGACACGGCTAGAGACACGGCCCAGGACACAGCCTGGGACACGATCCAGGACATGGCACAGGACACGGCTAGAGACACGGCCCAGGACACAGCCTGGGACACGATCCAGGACAACCCAGGACATGGCACAGGACACAACTAGAGACACGGCCCAGGACACGATCCAGGACACGGCCCAGGACACGATCCAGGACACGGCCCAGGATACAACCCGGGACACGGCCTGAGTCACAAACCAGGATACGGCCCGGGACAAGGCCCAGAACACAACCCAGGACATGGCCTGAGACACAGCATTGGTGAAACAGAGAAGCAAAAAGAGGACTGACCAATAAAGCAAAGTGCAGGCCAAGCTGGCCAGAGAAGTCGCAGTCGTGGGGAGTGTGGAAAGGCGGGGGGGGGGGGAGAGTGTGGAAAGGCGGGGGGGGGGGCACCCGTATAACACTTCCAGGCGTGCTTACAATGGTCAGCTTTGATTTATGGGGCTTAAACCTTCCACAAGAAACTGCTGATAGAAGTGCTGGAAATGTATTATCTGGAATAATCGTGTCGCCTACAACCCCTCCACCGTCCACCTTCCCTGCCCACAACAGTCGGACACGTGTGGAAGATTTCCAGACTGCAGGAGCTGTGTGTGGCCACTCCCCCTGTCAATGAGCCAATAGGAGCTTTCCTGCCATAGCTCAGGTGACTCCGCCCCCATGTAAATGCCCGGTCATATCGGTGCGATTCGGGAATGGAAATCCCATCTAATAAATGTGAATGTCGGCGTCTCGACGTGCGATTTGCTGCAGTTTCTACAGTAGTTCCTGCGTGACTTTTCTGCAGTTTTGTTGCGATTTCACATCCATGGAATAGAATGGAAATCGTTCTGCAAATCGCAAGAAATCGTTGAAGATCTTCACAAGTCGCAATATAGTCTGCAGAAATCGCACACAAATCACGCAATTTTACATCGCAGCGGCGTGACCGGTGACATTCGCCCCTCCTCCCTCCTTGCATACAGTCACATGCAGGAAACTGCAGCGGATGGCACATATATATATATATATTTTAATGCGTACAGCGCTGAGCGAACTGTCGGCTCTTTATAAATACATAATAATCATATAGAAATTCATTCTTTTATTTTTTTTTTTACATAATGATTGCAATGTTGGACACGAAGGTGGAATTTTTTTATATATATTTTTTTTTTTTGTCATTCTATTAGTTGTCCTTCCAGTCTGTGTTGCTCGTGTCGCTCGTGTCGCTCGTGTCGCGGGTGCTCGGTACACGTTCGGGACATAATCCATCATAAGATGATTGAATGTTGGAAATGGATCCGGCTTTATCAAATTTCATTGTTTCTTTTTTTTTTTTTTTTTTTTTCCCGTCTGCGGACAAGTTTTTAATTGTTGGTTTATTATTTATGTATTAAAATGTATTTATTTTTTAATTATTTTTTTTTGCACAATGATTTCAGTGTTGGACATGAAGGTGGACATTTTTATATACTTTGTTTCTTTTTTTTTTGACAGAAACAATTGCGTCCTGACGGGATACTTTTTTTATTTGCACGAACATCCAATTTTGAGGACGATCTTTCGGGGAATGTTCCCTTCTTCAAAGTTTTTTTTTTGCCTCTTTCTTTTTTGTGTCATTCTATTAGTTGTCCTTCCAGTCCGTGTTGCTCGTGTCGCGGGTGCTCGGTACACGTACGGGACATCTTACATAATCCATCATAAGATGGTAATTGAATGTTGGAAATGGATCCGGCTTTATCAACTCTCATTGTTTCTTTTTTTTTTTTTTTTTTCCGTCTGCAGACAAGTTTTTAATTGCTGGTTTATTATTAGCAGCATTCCTCGTTTTTGTTGCTCGTGTCCCTCGTGTTGCTCGGTACATGTACAGTACAATTTTTATTTTCTTACATAATCCGCCACAAGATGGTAATTAAGTGTTGGAAGTGAATCCGATATTATTAACTTTCCTTGTTTGTTTCTTTGCAAACTTTTTTTTTTTTTTTGCCGGCCCATCTCTGGCCTAGTTTTTTTCCCTCCCTGTCTGCGGCATTTTTTTCCTCCCATGCTCCTGTAATGTGATGGTTCCCTCCCTGCTGGCTCATGGTGTCCCCGTGACTGTGTCTCCTGCCTCCTGTCCTCTCCACACCCCGGTGCTGCTCTGAGCTGGGAACAGATGCAGGCAGCATTGAAGGGCACGTGAGCTTCATATGACAGGAACAGCATCTGGCTCACTTGGCATTGGGCGTGCTGCTGTCACAGGGAGGGCCACACCACTCCTCCCCCCCCCCCCCCCCCAGTGCAAAACATCTCCTCCCACCCATTTAACCAGAAGCTGGAGCTGCTAACACCATCATAACTAGCTAGAGGCAGAGCGGAGCGCACACACACATCAGCCCCTGAGCACCTAGACCGTCACCTGTGCACCCCTTCCAGACCAGCCCCCCGCTTTATGGACATAGCACCCCACCTGTACACAGCCAGGAGCTAGAGCAGCATCGCCTCAGCATGGAGAGAGTCCCCAGCAGCCAACCTCCACCACCCTGTCTGGACAGATCCTTGTCTGGGTAAGTTCCCTGCTTGTGTCTGGAAATACATCATCCTGGGAACACAGCGATTTCTAGGTCCCCCCCCCCCCAGAACCCCAGGGGGGCCCAGAAATACAACTGCCCATTAATCAGCGGGCAGCGCCAAAGGTGAGCAGAAAGAATAGTCGCCATCTGCCCGCTATTCCCAGGGGCAGCCCCGGGTCGGGGAGGTTTTATCCTCAATTGTTTTTAAAGTGGTGAACGTTGGTCCCACCAATATCCCCCCCCCGTATCCCCCCCATCCGTATCCCCCCCATCCGTATCCCCCCCCATCCGTATCCCCCCCCATCCGTATCCCCCCCATCCGTATCCCCCCCCATCCGTATCCCCCCCATCCGTATCAATTCTCATGAAAGGTCCCTGGAGTGATTACAATTTATGTAAAGACCCAAAAATGCAAACAGTTCTATTTTAAATTTATTTGGGGAATTAATATGAAAGATTTTATTGTACATTTTTTTTTTTATTACTGAGGAATTAATATTCAATTTTTTTTTTAATAAAGTTTTTATTATAAATATTATTGGGGAATTCATATTAAAGTTTTTTTGTTTTTTTATATTAAAGTTTTCATTGTAAATATTTTTATTATTGGGGAATTAAAATTAAAGATTTTATTGTAAAAAAAAATGTTATTGTTGAGGAATTAATATTCAATTTTTTTTTTAAATTAAATTTTTTATTATAAATATTTTTATTGTTAGGGAATTAATATGAAAGTTTTTATTGTGCGTTCACTTTTATTATTATTATTATTATTATTATTATTATTATTATTATTATCGATGATCTGAATCTATTTGGGATGATTTGTAAATCGTTCTCTTGTCCCGGAAGTTCCGGTCGATGATTTTCTAGACGGATTATAATGGAAATATTTGAGGAAAGTTACTTTGTATTATTATTATTTCCTTCACAAAGAAACATTTAATATGCAATCACCTGACGCGGCGATCTCTGAATCCGCTGCGGGTCGATCGGCGAGCTGCTCAGAACGATTGTGAGACGTTTGATCTGCCGGCTCAGCAGACGGCGTCCCTGGAAACGATTTGGCGTTTGCAGCTGCGTCAGGTTTTGCATATATAATGTGTGATGATTGGCCGCCGTGCGCGGATCTGGAGAGGCGATTTGTGTGGCGAATGTGTTGTGTCGTCCTCTGATCCCGATTTGTCGTTCCTTTCAGGATGGAATTCTCTCACATGTATCCCGTCTTCAAGTCCCGGAAAGGAATGAAGAGATGCGAGGACGGCAGCGGCAAGGTACGCCACGCTTTGTGCTCCCCACATACAATCCACGTTAGTCTGACCAATCCGCATCTTCGTTAGAAAGTTCGCCATCGATGGCTCTGCTGGTCTTATCGCACTTCTTGGCCAATCAGATTGGATAGACCAGCCATAGATCTGTACATGTATTAGATCTCCTATATGTGATCTGTACATCCTCTGGGTGGGCGATCGATGTGGCAGTGTGTGGCATTGGCTGAGAAATATCGATTTGATCAATCATAGTATATTATATTTGATATCAATTCTTCCATGGTAGTCCCCCCCCTCCCCCGCCCAGCCAATCAGATTGAACAGACGTGATCCATACATGTATCGTTAGATTTCCTATAGGTGATCTATACACTTGCTGGGTGGGCGATCGATGTGGCAGTGTGTGGCATTGGCTGAGAAATATCGATTTTATCAATCGCAGTATTTATGATATTATGAATAAATCCATAGTAGTCCCCCCTCCCCCCCTCCAGCCAATCAGAGTAGACGTGCTCCATACATGTCTGGATGTGGTCTGTACATTGTATGCACTGCGGCCGATGTGGCAGTGTGTGGCGCTGTCTGTGGAATATCGATGTGATTGCTCATAGTCGTGATCTTAGATGAATCGCTCTGCTGCGCTCGTAGTTCGATGTTGTGCTCGATGTGCTCATTGTGTGATGTTGCGCTTGTTGTTTGATGTTGTGCGATATTGCGCTTTTTGTACGATGTTGTTCGATGTTGCGCTCGTTTCGATATTACGCTAGTTGTTCGATGTTGTGTGATGTTGTGCGATATTGCGCTAGTTGTTCGATGTTGTGTGATGTTGTGCGATGTTGCGCTAGTTGTTCGATATTGTTGCTAGTTGTTCGATGTTGCACTCGTTCGATGTTGTGCTTGTTGTTCGATGTTGTGCGATATTGCGCTAGTTGTTCGATGTTGCGTCTGTGATGTTGTTCGATGTTGTTCGATGTTGTTCGATGTTGTGCTTGTTAGTTGTTCGATGTTGTGCGATATTGCGCTAGTTGTTTGATGTTGCACTCGTTCGATGTTGTGTGATGTTGCACTCGTTCGTTGTTCGATGTTGTGCGATATTTGCGATAGTTGTTTCGATGTTGTGTGATGTTGTTCGATGTTGTGCGATATTGCGCTCCTTCGATGTTTTGCTCGTCGTTCGATGTGCGCTATTGCGCTTGTTCAATGTTGCTGTCGGGAGTTGCGTGTGTGCGGTGCGGGTAGATTGGGTTGGGTGTGTGCGGTGCGGGTAGATTGTGTTGGTGCGGTGTGCGGTGCGGGTAGATTGGGTTGCGTGTGTGCGGTGTGGGTGGATTGCGTGTGTGCGGTGCGGGTGGATTGGGTTGCGTGTGCGGTGCGGGTGGATTGGGTTGCGTGTGCGTGTGCGGGGTAGATTGGGTTGCGTGTGTGCGGTGTGGGTGGATTGCGTGTGTGCGGTGCGGGTGGATTGGGTTGCGTGTGCGGTGCGGGTGGATTGGGTTGCGTGTGCGGTGCGGGTGGATTGGGTTGCGTGTGCGGTACGGGTGGATTGGGTTGCGTGTGCGGTGCGGGTGGATTGGGTTGCGTGTGTGCGGTGCATGTGCAGGACATGGTGTACCTGTGTGGCGTGTCTGCACGTTCCCCTGCACGCTCCCCACGCGGTGTGCGGATCACAAGCAGCTCACGTGTACTCTCACATGTAGGCTGTGTGCACCGCCGCCGGGTGGCCCCCAGGGGGCAGCATGTCGGTGATTGGATGACTCTGACCGCTGCGTCTCTCCTCAGGACACCTACAAGCTGCCGCACCGACTGATCGAGAAGAAGCGCCGAGACCGCATCAACGAGTGCATATCGCAGCTGAAGGACTTACTGCCGGAACACCTCAAACTGACGGTAAGTGAGCCGGGCGCCGCCGCTGGTTTACCCCCCCTCCTCCCCCCAAACAACCCCCTACCCCCCCCTCCCCCCCCCCCCCAAACTTCCACCCCCATCCTCCTCCCCAAACATCCCCCCCCCCCCCCCCCACAGGATTGGGTCGCTCGGGATGAAGTTGTTTTCACAATAATCACATCACATGCCTCTGCGCCGGCTACATGTGACATCCCGAGACGCTCTGCATACATGTGACAGCCACGAGACGCTCTGCATACATGTGACATCCCGAGACGCTCTGCATACATGTGACATCCCGAGACACTCTGCATACATGTGACATCCCGAGACGCTCTGCATACATGTGACAGCCACGAGACGCTCTGCATACATGTGACATCCCGAGACACTCTGCATACATGTGACAGCCAGAGACGCTCTGCATACATGTGACATCCCGAGACGCTCTGCATACATGTGACATCCCATACATGTGAGACGCTCTGCATACATGTGACAGCCAGGAGACGCTCTGCATACATGTGACAGCCACGAGACGCTCTGCATACATGTGACATCCCGAGACACTCTGCATACATGTGACAGCCAGAGACGCTCTGCATACATGTGACAGCCAGGAGAGACGCTCTGCATACATGTGACATCCCGAGACGCTCTGCACGCTCTGCATACATGTGACATCCCGAGACGCTCTGCATACATGTGACAGCATACATGTGACATCCCGAGAGCTCTGCTACTGTGACATCCCGAGACGCTCTGCATGCATACATGTGACATCCCGAGACGCTCTGCATACATGTGACATCCCGAGACGCTCTGCATACATGTGTGAGACGCTCTCCCGAGACGCTCTGCATACATGTGACAGCCAGGAGACGCTCTGCATACATGTGACATCCCGAGACACTCTGCATACATGTGACATCCCGAGACGCTCTGCATACATGACATCCCGATGACACTCTCTGCATACATGTGACAGCCACGAGACGCTCTGCATACATGTGACATCCCGAGACACTCTGCATACATGTGACATGCCATACATGAGACGCTCTGCATACATGTGACATCCCGAGACGCTCTCTCTGCATACATGTGACATCCCGAGACGCTCTGCATACATGTGACAGCCAGAGACGCTCTGCATACATGTGACAGCCACGAGACGCTCTGCATACATGTGACATCCCGAGACACTCTGCATACATGTGACATCCCGAGACACTCTGCATACATGTGACAGCCAGGAGACGCTCTGCATACATGTGACAGCCAGGAGACGCTCTGCATACACGTGACATCCCGAGACGCTCTGCATACATGTGACATCCCGAGACGCTCTGCATACATGTGACAGCCAGACGCTCTGCAGACCAGGAGACTCTGCATACATGTGACATCCCGAGACGCGCTGCTGCATACGTGTGACAGCCCGAGACGCTCTGCATACATGTGACATCCCGAGACGCTCTGCATACATGTGACATCCCGAGACGCTCTGCATACATGTGACAGCCCGAGACGCTCTGCATACGTGTGACATCTCGAGACGGACGCTCTGCATACATGTGACATCCACGAGACGCTCTGCATACATGTGACATCCCGAGACGCTCTGCATACATGTGTGACAGCCAGGAGACGCTCTGCATACACATCCCAAAGACGCTCTGCATACGGATGACATCCCGAGACGCTCTGCATACATGTGACATCCCGAGACGCTCTGCATACATGTGACAGCCCTGTGTAGACGGATCTCTGAGACGGATCCCTGTAGACGGATCCTGTAGACGGATCGTATCGGATCCCTGTAGACGGATCCCTGTAGACGGATCCCTGTAGACGGATCCCTGTAGACGGATCCCTGTCCCTGTAGACGGATCCCTGTAGACGGATCCCTGTAGACGGATCCCTGTAGACGGATCCCTGCAGACGGATCTGTAGACGGATCCCCCTGCAGACGGAGACGGATCCCTGCAGACGGATCCCTGCAGACGGATCCCTGTAGACGGATCCCTGTAGACGGATCCCTGCAGACGGATCCCTGTAGACGGATCTCCTGTAGACGGATCTGTAGACGGATAGACGTCCCTGTAGATCTCTATAAGTGTTGTTCTCCCTCTTGCAGACTCTGGGACATCTGGAGAAGGCGGTGGTCCTGGAGCTGACACTCAAACACGTCCAGTCCTTGTCAAGCTTGATAGAGCAGCAGCAGCAGCAGCAGATCCTGAACCTCCAGAACGGTGAGTGGCCCCCTTCGTGTTCCGTTATCCGAGTGGCCCTTCGTGTTCCGTTATCCGAGTGGCCCTTCAATTCCGTTATCCGAGTGGCCCTTCAATTCCGTTATCCGAGTGGCCCTTCGTGTTCCGTTATCCGAGTGACAGAAAAATGGCAGCAAAGAGAAGCGAGATTTGTATCACAGACTGAAACAATCTAGTCTGCACTCATGCCGCCATTGCTGAGTAATCTGCAGTAGAAAATGCAGTGATCTGCCCAGTCACCAGCTCTGGACATTGCTCTGTGCTGAGATTATGGAGATCATTTTTTGAGGTGCTGGATGCTGATTGGCTCCCATGGCAGGTGCACCAGATCCCAAGATCTCCGGCTGCAGTCATCACTATTCGTCACTTTCCTTTCACTAGAATGCTGTCTGGCTGTAGATGGATCCCTGTAGACGGATCTCTGTAGACGGATCTCTGTAGATCTCTGTAGATGGATCCCTGTAGACGGATCTCTGTAGACGGATCTCTGTAGACGGATCTCTGTAGATCTCTGTAGACGGATCCCTGTAGATTGATCTCTGTAGACGGATCTCTGTAGACGGATCCCTGTAGACGGATCCCTGTAGACGGATCCTCTGTAGACGGATCCCTGTAGACGGATCCCTGTAGATTGATCTCTGTAGACGGATCTCTGTAGACGGATCCCTGTAGACGGATCCTGTAGACGGATCCCTGTAGACGGATCCCTGTAGACGGATCCCTGTAGACGGATCCCTGTAGACGGATCCCTGTAGACGGATCTCTGTAGACGGATCTCTGTAGATGGATCTCTATAGATCTCTGTAGTTGGATCTCTATAGATCTCTGTAGATGGATCTCTGTAGATGGATCTCTGTAGATCCCTGTAGATGGATCTCTGTAGATGGATCTCTGTAGATCTCTGTAAGTGTTCTTCTCCTTCTTGCAGACACTGGGACATCTGGGACCCCCCTCCCCCCCCATAGTGTTCTACATACTGCAGGTCTCTTGGCTGCTTTGACTCTGTATTGAGGCTGCAGAGGGTCCAGCGAGGACCATGGCCGGTCGGGTCGGGGGGGTGGTTCGTGTTCTTTGGCTCATTTTGGTTCTTCTTCTTCCAGGTTGCTCCTCTGATGGTAACAGATCTTCGGGGGAGGAAATGTTCCATTCCGGGTTTCAGTTGTGCGCGGAGGAGGCCCTGAGGTTCCTAAAAGGCGGAGAGAAACGTGAGCTCGTGGCGCACCTCCACCGTGTGGCTTCTGATCTCAACCATGACACCTCTGGAGCCACCAAAATCAGTGAGAAGCCCAGTCCTAAGGTGCAAGCCACCAACTGCGTCCCTGTAATCTGCCGAGCTGCCCCCCTCAGCTCTGGAGAACAGAGCGGCACGGACACGGACACTGACAGTGGGTATGGAGGAGAGGCGGACAAAGCAGAGGGAGCTCAGGAACAGGGAGGGGCCCTGAAGGAAGACAGGACCCCCCCTATGGCTCTGGATAGGCTTATTAAACAGGAACTAGAGGAGATTCCAAAAAAAGAGGCCAAGAATGGAGGCCACAGAGGAAGATACCAGGTTCGGCAACAGTGACCTGTCTGTCATGGGACCTTACCCAAATCACCCACCTTTTTGCCTTCCCTTCTATTTTATACCCCCCTCTGCCTCAGCCTATCTGCCCATGCTGGAAAAGTGCTGGTACCCCGGGTCCATGCCAATGATGTATCCCAATTTGGGACAATCTGGTCTGCTGAACCAAGACCGAATGCCACCAGTTCACTCCCCACCATCGATACCTGCCATGGACTCCTCGGCCCTCTTACAAGCCCTTAAACAGGTGCCAGCGGTGGGTGCAGATGCCAAGGACTGACTGTAAGTGGTCACAGGAGCATGGATGTGCTAGCAGAAAACCCATTCAAGGGCTCCTAGGCCACCAAACAAGACTTGCTGCTTTCATCCGCCTGTACTCGAAGAGGAACCGAAGCTGAGCAAGACCGTTCCTTTTGTAGGTTCTAGGAGTCAGGCAGGTGTGGAGGTGTCCTATCTTGTGGCCCTCGTTGTAGAGTCTGCCCACGTGGTACAGGTTGGAGTCCTCAAAGATGTGGAGATATCCCTCAGAAGAGCAAGGAGGGTTGCCACTTCCAAGACAAAAACCAAGGGTGGTAGACAAGGACTAACCATGGATGATGGATGATACCAGGACCATGGATGATACCATGGATGATACCAGACGGGCCATGGATGATACCAGACGGGCCATGGATGATACCAGACGGGCCATGGATGGATACCAGACGGGCCACGGATGCCAGACGGGCAGCCAGAACCGTCGCTGGTCTTCTTCTGCTGTAATTCTCTGAGGTAGTCCGAGGTTTGTGGAGGTCACTAGAGCCAACTTCATTCCCGGGACTCCGAGACCTTCACAATGCTGAACCTTTCCTTTTCGCACTGAACTTGAAGAGACTTTAAGAAAAAAAAAAAAAAAAAAAACACTCGGAAGGGCCCCTGATGGCAGCTGACTGGCCCCTGAGGGCGGGGCTGGAGGTTCCAGAAATAATTAAAGCACTTTAAATGTTCTCTCCTGGATTCCCGGCCTCTTCCGCGGCTCGAGGAGAGCAGAGTGAGGAAATATTTTCAGAAAATAAATAAATCTATTTCATGAATTTCTGTTTTCTTTTTCTTTTCCGTAGAGAAACGTTTCTGTGCGCCAAAATAGTTCACAGAAAATCCACAAATTAAAATGAATCATCCAAAAAAAGTTCTACAAACGGGTCGATTTACCAGAACCGAGTAGACTGAATACACATCACAATCCCCACTGCACTTCCCAGGATAGATATGCCTGTCAGGTGTGCCCCAACTGCCATTCCTCTGGCCACGCAGGAACTCCCATGTGTGTGTGACTAAGCCCCCCAACTGCCATTCCTCTGGCCACGCAGGAACTCCCATGTATGTGTGACTAAGCCCCCCAACTGCCATTCCTCTGGCCACGCAGGAACTCCCATGTGTGTGTGACTAAGCCCTCAACTGCCATTCCTCTGGCCACGCAGGAACTCCCATGTATGTGTGACTAAGCCCCCCAACTGCCATTCCTCAGTCACACATGCATGGCAGTTCCTGAGTGGCCAGAGGAATGGCAGTTGAGGGCTTAGTCACACATACATGGCAGTTCCTGAGTGGCCAAAGCCCCCAACTGTCATTCCTCTGGCCATTCAGGAACTGTTAGGTATGTGAAGCCCCGCCTTTCTTTACTCTGGCCACTCAGGAACTGACTGATATATTTGGCCCCCAACTGTCATTCTTATGGCCACTCAGCAACTGCTATGTGTGTGTGTGACTAAGCCCCCAACTGTCATTCTCCTGGCTAGCCAGGAAGTGCCAGATATGTGTGAACCCTTAGGACCCCTCATTGAATAGGGGATGACCATTAGCGGAGCTGAGCCCTGTGACAACACAGGAGCACCATTGGAAGGCAGTTGTCACCCCATCTCACATAAGCTTTAACAGGTTACCGTCGTTCTAAAGGTTGAGATTCACTGGAAGTCCCTCCCCAACGCGTTTCGTCATACAGCGGCAATGTCCTCAGGAGCTCCCGAGCATGCCCCATCTGTATGACGAAACGCGTTGGGTGGGACTTCCAGTTATGTTATTTGAGGTCAGGCGGAGCGCACGCTGTCATTTGCGGTCAGGCGGAGCGCACGCTGTCATTTGCGGTCAGGCGGAGCGCACGCTGTCGTTTGCGGTCAGGCGGAGCGCGCGCTGTCGTTTGCGGTCAGGCAGAGCGCACGCTGTCATTTGCGGTCAGGCGGAGCGCACGCTGTCATTTGCGGTCAGGCGGAGCGCACGCTGTCGTTTGCGGTCAGGCGGAGCGCGCGCTGTCGTTTGCGGTCAGGCGGGGCGCACGCTGTCGTTTGCGGTCAGGCGGGCGCGCACGCTGTCATTTGCGGTCAGGCGGAGCGCACGCTGTCCTTTGCGGTCAGGCGGAGCGCACGCTGTCCTTTGCGGTCAGGCGGAGCGCACGCTGTCGTTTGCGGTCAGGCGGAGCGCGCGCTGTTGTTTGCGGTCAGGTGGGGCGCACGCTCGATCACCACTCAATACCATTTCATTCGTTGTAAGTGCAATTTTACCTATTTTTTATGCTCATAATAAACAGTATTTCCCTATCAGAGACAATATTGGTTCTTGGTCTGGTCTCCGCCCCCTCCTGCAGTGGGAGGAGCCTGCTGGGCCCCTCCTGCAGCTCTGTTTCTCTCTTCTTGTGTAGGGGGACTAGTCTTGTCTCCACCCCCTCCTGTAATGGGTGGAGCCTGCTGAGTGCCTCCCACAGTTCTGTTCTCTCTCCTTCTGTAGTTTTCTGTAGTGGGTGGAGTTCCCGAGGCCACTCCCACAGCTCTGCTCTCTGCACAGGCTACGTACCACCCCAGTGATGATGTCACGGCTACTTTTACAGGGTAATATCTGGGTTTGCAGACGTTTGTTGCGCCCAGTGTGGAAAACCAATAGATAGAAGTTTGGTGAATGGATCCTGGCAGCGCAATGCCGGGCGCGTTATTGGAGAGGGAATTGCGGGAATGTTTTATTCCAGGATTCCATCTGAGAGGCGGCAACAGGATATTCCCTCCCTGGGAGGTAAGAATTGGCCGCAGCCGCCCCCCCAAAGGTTTATTTTCTTCTTCCTCTGGAGTTGGCGGAAGGCTGAACCCGATGGCCTTGTGTCCTGCGCACATTCCGCCCCCCCCCCCCCCCCCCCCCCCCCCGGGGAGAACGTGACACGTAGACCAGGTGAGTCACTCCGCCAGGTGTGTGTAACAATAGGTGCTTTCTCAGGAAGCCAGCGGGGGAGGGGCTACAGGGTGGGGGAGGGAGGGGGCAGTTCTGGCACTTTGATGTCAGGCAGACACTTGTTGTCAGTGTCACCTCTCCCCCCCCCCCCATACCCCCCCCCCACTCACCTCCCGCTCACCCTGCGCCTGTTGACACGACTTCCGAATGTCGCTTTCATGTGCAGCTAAATATCGCCTTTTCCTGGAATGAGACGTGACTGGCAGCAGTCCAAGAGCAGACCAGCTGACACCGCGCGCCCCCCCAATCCACTTCACACCCTGTGACCCCCCCACGTGCTGCCCCCCCAATCCACTTCACACCCTGTGACCCCCCCACCCCCCCACGTGCTGCCCCCCCAATCCACTTCACACCCTGTGAGCCCCCCACGTGCTGCCCCCCTAACCAACGTCTCACCCTGTCTAGACCCCCCCACGTGCTGCCCCCCCAATCCACTTCACACCCTGTGACCCCCCCACGTGCTGCCCCCCCAATCCACTTCACACCCTGTGACCCCCCCACGTGCTGCCCCCCCCAATCCACTTCACACCCTGTGACCCCCCCCCACATGCTGCCCCCCCAATCCACTTCACACCCTGTGACCCCCCAAGGTGCTTGCCCCCCCCAATCCACTTCACACCCTGTGACCCCCCCACGTGCTGCCCCCCAATCCACTTCACACCCTGTGACCCCCCCACGTGCTGCCCCCCCCAATCCACTTCACACCCTGTGACCCCCCCCCGTGCTGGCCCCCCCCCCCCCCCCCCCCCCCCAACCAACGTCTCACCCTGTGACCCCCCCCCCCACGTGCTGCCCCCCCCAATCCACTTCACACCCTGTGACCCCCCCCACATGCTGCCCCCCCAATCCACTTCACACCCTGTGACCCCCCCACGTGCTGCCCCCCCAATCCACTTCACACCCTGTGACCCCCCCCCGTGCTGGCCCCCCAACCAACGTCTCACCCTGTGACCCCCCCCCCCCACGTGCTGCCCCCCCAATCCACTTCACACCCTGTGACCCCCCACACGCGCTGCCGCCCCATCAACTTCCCACCCTGTGACCCCCCCCCACCCACGTGCTGCCCCCCCATCAACTTCACACTCTGTGACCCCCCCCACGTGCTGCCCCCCCAATCCTCTTCACACCCTGTGCCCCCCCACGTGCTGCCCCCCCAATCCACTTCACACCCTGTGACCCCCCCCCACGTGCTGCCCCCCCAATCCACTTCACACCCTGTGACCCCCCCCACGTGCTGCCCCCCCCAATCCACTTCACACCCTGTGACCCCCCCCACGTGCTGCCCCCCCAATCCACTTCACACCCTGTGACCCCCCCACGCGCTGCCCCCCCCCAATCCACTTCACACCCGTGACCCCCCCCCACGTGCTGCCCCCCCCCCCAATCCACTTCACACCCTGTGACCCCCCCCCACGCGCTGCCCCCCCCCCCATCAACTTCACACCCTGTGACCCCCCCCCACGTGCTGCCCCCCCAATCCACTTCACACCCTGTGACCCCCCCACGTGCTGCCCCCCCCAATCCACTTCACACCCTGTGACCCCCCCCACACGTGCTGCCCCCCCAATCCACTTCACACCCTGTGCCCCCCCCCCCCCACGTGCTGCCCCCCCCCAATCCACTTCACACCCTGTGTGGACCCCCCACACATGCTGCCCCCCCCCACGTGCTGCCCCCCCAATCCACTTCACACCCTGTGACCCCCCCACGTGCTGCCCCCCAATCCACTTCACACCCTGTGACCCCCCCCCCACGTGCTGTCCCCCCCAATCCACTTCACTCCCTGTGACCCCCCACGTGCTGTCCCCCCCAATCCACTTCACACCCTGTGACCCCCCCCACGTGCTGTGCCCCCCTCCCCACGTGCTGCCCCCCCCAATCCACTTCACACCCTCTGACCCCCCCCACGTGCTGCCCCCTCAATCCACTTCACACCCTGTGACCCCCCCACGTGCTGCCCCCCCCCAATCCACTTTACACCCTTTGACCCCCCCACCACATGCTGCCCCCCAATCCACTTCACACCCT